AGAACCAACCGGAATTCGGACGAGGCCGGGCTTTCGGGCCAAGACGGGCAATCGAGATTAGACTTACCCCTTTGAGATCGGGTCGGGACCAGGATAACGGAATCAGATAGTCGAGGAGAGAATTTTGTCCAGGGAACGGCCTGGGGTTTCTTCTTTATGAAGTGATAAGGACGACTTATGGTGAAACTTGAACGCAACCAGTGGCCGCGATGGGCCCTCGAATCTGCCTCAGACACTGAGAGTTCGAGCACTATTCCAAGGGATCGGCAAACCTGTTACCGGCGACATCCCATCGGGCGGAGGATTCGTCCTACACTGTTAGTAAGGTCGATCGGAACTCAGACCGATTTTCCCGACTTGGATGCAGGACCTATCTCTAGGGTTGGGAGTCGCGCAGCGAACCCGATCATCTTGGACTAGATGAAAACATATTTTTTGTTCCTTCCATACGGTGGACTATGAGCGACCCGCGCTTGTGTCTATAGTCGGTTCCAGTCTCCATTTATGTGGATGGGGACTAACTGTTTTCTTGCAGGTTACAGGAGCSCCGACCGACCCTCCCRTGGGYGACAGACACTGCGTGAGGTACAGGGTCCGATCGGCGTGCCGGCAGACCACTTCTCCCGGTCRACAACGTGTGATATGCCAGACTGGGGAGATCAACATAACACCGAACACCAACACCCCCAAGCAACCCCTGCGGAACCCAGAACCAACATACAGCACCATGGACTATCCTTGGGTGGTGCGCAGGCAGTGTCTGTAATAGTACCATGCGTCAGCCCAAGCGGATGTGCGTCCAGCCGTGCGTTAATCCAACACCCTGCCAGTAACGACCATTTCGTCAAAATGGACATTTTTTATATTTTGAACGAAATTGAAACTGAGTTTTTTGGCCGAAAACTCATCAAAATTTGCTGTTCGTGAGCGTCCAGCGTTTTACAAACGCTGGACCCCCTGGCTGTACATGGACCTAGCTTGAGACCAGGCACCTCCAGGCAGGACTGCCTGGAGGTGCCTGGGCTCAAGCTAGGTCCATGTACAGCCAGGGGGTCCAGTGTTTTACAAACGCCGGACCCTCAGGAACAGCAAATTTTAACGAGTTTTCGGCCAAAAAACTCGGTTTCAATTTCATTCAAAAAATAAAAGATGTCCATTTTGACGAAATGGCAGTTCAGTGTCCATGCGCAAGGCTGCGGGGTTTTGAACCCGCAACCTTATACCACAATGCACATTTCCAACCGGTGCTCTAACCACTGAGCTACATCAACTGGACATAAGAAAAAAAAGTCAATGCACTGAGAGCGAGAATACAGTTATAAAAAAAAAAAAAACGAAAAAAAAAAACCACTGGAATTTGAAGAATTTCAAACCAAGGAAATTTACATTGGAGAAATTTTAAAGACCAGGTTTCTGAAATAGAATTGGAAAAGAGCAGCTATGGAAGAGAATGCAGCACAAATAAAAACATAAACCCGGCCTCACACCACCGCCGCGGTGCTATCTGTGCATTTCCAAACTATGCGGCTGTTCTCTTTGCGGGCGAGTGTTTTTTTGCGCATTAGAAACTCAAAGGTGACATCAACGTAGTTGCCCCGAAAAAAAGAAACAACGAAAAAAGGATGCAAGTATGTTCATGTGACTTTTGGGTATGGAATAATAAAAAATGACACCCTCGGGCCTCCGCTAAGAAACCAGGGGCCAAGTTCAAAAAAGCAATGAAAGTATCAACGGCCATGGTGTTCGGCCAGGTGTCATATTTACAGGGGTCAGCCATGGTGTGCGACGGGGAAAGAAAGAAAAAAAAAAAGGCCAACGGATACTTTTCGACCCAAGTTGCCGTTTCGAAGTAGGCACGTGTTTTCTTTGCCGGCAGCTGTTTTTTTTGCTGGCGCGAACTCAAAACCTGCCGCGTCTGCAGTTGTTTCAAGGAAACAACAACAGTGAAACTCACTATAATAAAACAGGAAAGAAATCTTCTGAACCAGTTCTCAATCCAAGCTGGGTTATGGCTTTGGTATTCTCAAAATCATCATCAAACTCTCACTGTAATCTCATGTAATCTTATTATAAGGCACGCTGGGCCCGGCTGGGCCCGGTTCCCAGCATGTGCTGCTCCAGTGCTCCCCATGAATAGATCGGAGCTTTTCAATAATAAAAGAGGAAAGAAAAAGGGAAAGTAAATGTGGGAACAGACAAAGGAGTAAATGGAGGCAGCGAGGGGGACGAAATGTGTAGGGAAGGGCCAGGAGATGGGGGAATTGAGGGGGTCTGGGTCAGACCAGGCTGAAGAAGGGGGCAGGCATTGACTGCCCGTAGAGGGCAGCGAAAAGCACTTGGAAATGAGCAAGGGATTTAGTACTAGAGCCTCAGCTTTCCCTACGGCTACTAACAATCTGCAAATAGAAAGCTGACGTAGAAGTAAGGGAATACAGAGAAAGGCACATGGAATTCAACAGAAACTGGGTTAGAAAGACGAGTGAGATAAGAATAGGCCCATAACAGGCAAAATATTGCACATCAATTGAAACACTGTCAGCCGAATGGGCCAATCACCATGAAAATCACCCACTAAGTCCAGTGGTGCTGTAAATTTGGCCACACCCTCTAGGAGCTGCCCCCCCTGGCCATATGCAATTGGCGATAGCCAGGCCCTCTAGGTGCTGTCCTCGGTGCCAGGTATGTCTGCCACCCCTGATGATGCTGGACTTGCGCCCGGATGCAATGCTCCATAAGGTCCACCAGCGTTGGGCAAGTTAGTAGGATGTGTTCGTGGGCGCAGGCTTGCCCTGCTTAGGTACTCCTGTTGGGTAGACTCTCTGAATTGGGCCTGTAGAAGATTGCATGAGCCTGGCGTCCGAAGGTCCCATACGGCAAGGTTTGTCCGCTTCCGCTTCCACTAGGGCTGGGGGGTTGGCCCAGCAGAAGCTAAGTGGATCTGCACATCTAGCTTCCCAACAGCTGAGGTTACAGGATGGCACTACCCATCCCAGCATGAGCCCGACGTCCTCCACTGTGCAAGCACAGATTTGAACCGGCGACCTCGGCCTCAAGAGCCAGGTAGGGCCCAGCCTTGGTGCTTGTCACTGCTGTCTGGTCCAAGTTGCCGTCGATATTGGTAGGGTGATGGTCCTGAGTGCTGGTCACTCTGAGGTAGGACAGGGTGCGCTGGGAGTATTAATGTGGGGATGGGTAGGGTATGTGGCCTTTCCTGTCAGGACAACCATTGGCTGCCGCTGCCAGCAAGCACCGCGGGTCTGGTACTTGGCCTCTACAACACCCTCGGCTTCAAAAAAAAAAGAAAAAAGTCGTATCACCAGAACTGCTGCAGGTTTTCATTGTTATATCTTGTGCATGCCTGTGCTTGGGATATCCATCTCCTTGCCTATCATCTCACTGTCTGTACTAGATGTATGAAGATTGTTGGCATTGGTTGCTGTAATTATCATATCACACGGTTAGGAGTGAATACAGAATGCTACTGGGTATGATAATCACTCACGCACACACACACACACACACACACACACACACACACACACACACACACACACACACGGAAAAAAAAAGAAAAAAAAAGAAAAAAGAGGCAGCTGCCGGCTGTTTGTAAAAGGGCTATTTGATATCTGAGGGCTTATTCAGAGCCTAACCCTCAGCTGTAGAGGCCCCTACAGTGCAGCGCTGATCATAGTTGGCAGCTACACGGTCAAACTCCTTGGCTGCTAGTGACAGGGTGTGGTGGCCTCACCCCTTTCTGTTCTTCCCTTGCCTGTAAATACACTCTGTTTGTCGGTAATTGGCGACCAGACCAGAATGGAATGGCCATGCATGTTTGCGAACAAGAGACAAGGTATAAGAAAAGAGAGGGCATGGGTGTGCCTTCTGTTTCTGTCTCCATATGTGTGGCACTGGCCTGTGCAGTGCGTTTTGTCATTTTGCGAGTTCCTGTTTCCCTTTGTGTATTTGAAGGTCACTGGTCAGATGGTCAGATACTATAGCCCACATGCTAACTTTTGTGCATTTGGGAGACCACTGTTTCTCAATCTGCCTGTCCATCCGGTTGCATCATATGCACCCTGCAGCTGTTTTGTTATGATGTGCCTAAAATTAAATCAGGCATTTGAGCAAAAGTGAATAGTATCTTGAATTTAGTACTGGACAGTAGACTTAAGATTAAATTTTGCACACAAAAATTGCAAGAATTTGTAGAGCTTTACTATCTCAGAGCACATGCGCATGTGCGGCATGAGCTGTGGTTGAAGCAATGACTGTGGGCGTCGTTAGACACTCCTTGGGGACCCGAAATCCACAAGGAAGTGCTCTTTCCACGGTTCCACCTATCCTCGGGGAAAAAAATGTGAAAACAGCACAAGGAAATTTCCGTGTGGCGTCCTTGTGGCTCCAGCCAATTTCTCCCAATCCCCAAGGGACCTCCCTCGGTCCCTCGGAGCACAAGGAAGCGTGATATTCGGAGCGGTGAAGGCATGCGTCGACGCACAATTTCGGTTTGAGGGTGGTCCAGATGTTGTCCACCCAACGGGAGCACGAACATCCCTGCCCTCCACCGTCCGGGCGGCACCCCAACGGCCACCCCAATGGCTCCAAACTGTCACCGTTCGCGTGAGGCCTCCGTCCGACAAATCGGCCGCAGCCGGCCAGTGTCATGCGGTCTGCTGCGCTGGGAGATCGTTGACAACAGTCGGAAATTCGAATTCTTTTCCGCTCCGGCGCTTTGTATGACGACGACAGTGTTTTTTTGCAAGATCGTTGTTTCGTCGGTTGTTGTCAGGCCGTGCGCATCCAAGCACAGATCTTCCCTCGCTTTTTCTTCTCTCGACGGTGTTCTTCGGTGGACGGTCGACCACTGACATGGAGTTGCTGCCCTTTCCACGGCCCTTACATGGCCGACCTGCTGCACAGGCTGCCTCTGCTACTCGTCGCCGTGCTGCTTGTCATCGTTGTCTTATTTCACGTGTGTTTCGTCGGCCGGCTCCCTGCCGCGGCTTGCAAAAGGAGGTCTTCCAAGAACGGTGACAGGATGGATCAACGAATGACCAACGGCAGACAGGCAAGCATGACAGCAGGAGCGAGCAATCGGCAACGCACTGCGGGGTCTGTGGCCAAGCAAGTGTACGACCCCATGTTGTATGCTCACCTGCCTTCGCATGAGATTCCTCTGCCGACGTCGGATGACGAAGGGGAAGACGTCAGGTCGCCGACTGTGCCGTTGGGAAGTGGTTCCACGCAGGATTGGGCCGCGACGCAGTCCTACGGTGGCAGGCGGGCGGAGACCCCATGGTCTTACACGTCAGTGACGTCTATGCTGAACGAGGGGCTGTGCGACAACGATGGCAATGCAGTGGTCGATCTGAGCTTTCAGTTGTCGAGCAGCAGTGGAGCAGCGGCGACACATACTCGCATCATCAATCCCCACACATATAGGGATTGCGCGGAGCAGACGATGGTTGGTCCCTGCGGGCCGCGAGACGTCGGGCTACTTCAAACGCTTCGCGAGGGCGGGCGGAATCGATATGCGATCATCACCTGCGTCGTGAAGCGGATCCGGGACTTTGCGGGGACGGCAGCAACAGGAGGACACGTACGCGGCAGGTGCGCACGTAGAACTCGACGGCAGGCAGTTGTGGGCGGAGTGCAAGCAGGCCTTGCGTCAAGCTGGAGCGGACGCAATAACGAGAGGGGTGCAAGGGCTCCACGTCCACGAAGGCGACGACGCGGCTGTTTAGGAGCCCCTCGACTGCGAGGACGTTGACGGTGACGACGATTGCAACTCCGACGATTTGCCTGAGATTCGGCCCCTTGGGAGGACGATGAGGAGCGGCGGTGCGAGTGTGAAGAAGGGTTTCACTCCAAGAAATCGGAGGAATAAGAAAATGGACGACGACACCGGCCGGAGCGATGGGGCACAATTTTGGTCGGTCGGACACACGATCGCACTCGTGAGGGCAAAAAGGGATCAACATCAGATTCTGTATTTTGCAGGCATGGGGCACAATTTCGGTCGCATGAAGAACAGGGAATGGAAGTGGGAGGACGTGCGGTCGAGGTTGGAGAAGATGGGCGTCACGAGGAAGGGCGTGGACTGCGTGAAGAAATGGAACAACTTAATGTAGCAGTTCAAAAAGGTTCACAGGTTTCAGCACCTCTCCGACAGGAAGGACTACTTCAAACTTGCTTCATCGGCCAGGAGATCGGAGGGCTTCAACTTCGTCATGGACCAGAGCGTGTACGACGAGATGGAGGCGATGACGAAGGGGAATCACACAATCCACCCAAAGAATTTGGAGGACACGGGGGCGCCGCGGGGGGTTCAGATGCTGGCAGGTGCGGGGGCTGGAGGGGAATCCATGGGCAGTAAGGAGGGAGGGGAGCCTGTCGACGAAGAGCAGGGGCCGACGAAAGATTCGACATTCAGCGCCAGGAGCGTCGGCGGTTCTGGGAAAAGGAAGAACATGCGACAACAAACCTTTGAGGCCGTAGCCGAGGTCATGGATAAACATGGAACGCTCATGGCATGCACCATGGACAGCGCAAGCAAGCGACAATGCTCTATGATATTACGACAGTGCGAAATCCTTGAGAGCGAAGTGGAAGTGCAGAGGAAACATTATGCTGCGGCGGCTGAGGCATCGTGACGCCCTTATGGAGATAGTGAAAGCCATCCGCGAGAGATCATGACGACACTACTATTTAGTGTCACTTTAGTGTCCTTTCTCTCCGTCCACTGCGACTACGACGTTGTCAATCTGTGTGTGTGGGGGGGGGGGGGGGGGGG